CACCAAAACAAATATAAAAATCCAATTTGCTTGCCCTTTTTTTTTTTTTTTTTTAAATTTTCTCCAGAGTTTAACATTCAAAGCTGTAAATGAAGAGCTGATGAGATGGGGGTAACAAGCCAAGTCTCAGACACAAGGATGTATTTACTCCTATCACTTTTGTCTGCAGGTGGCTGTTCCTTTGATGAGCACTACGGCAACTGTGGTTATAGCGTGGCCCTGGGGACCAATGGGTTTACGTGGGAGCAGATTAACACGTGGGAGAAACCAATGCTGGACCCAGCGGTGCCCACAGGTACGTGATCCCCTGTGTTTGAGGCTGTGATGAGGATGACTCACTCTTTGGATGGCTTGTGGGGACAAACTTTCTTAGGGATTGAGCTGGGCAGTAGACAGGTTCACTGGTAGTAATTCCCCATCCCCAGGGCTGTTCAAAGCAAGGCTTGGTGAATTCTTAAGGTATGTGGTAGGAATCACATGTCACCTAGATTCAGGAACCTTGAGAATTCCTTTTATCTTTAAGAGTCTAAGATTTAGCTGCAAGTTAGGGCATCCCTGGGTTTTGCTTGGGAACCTAATAGTAGTTGGATTTTGTGGGAAAGTCTGAAGAATGAGGTCATTCCTTTTCTTCCAGGACACAGACACACATATATCTAGGGAAACTGGCACAGTCAGACTATTACTCATAAAGTTAATGTCCTGACATCCTGAATGCGCAGCTTATCCTTAACCAGTGGGGCTAAAGGGCTAATGTAATTTCTTGGTGGACAGCTGCTTATGGCAGGCATGTGAGAGTGACATCTGATGTATTCTAGGGAAGATACACCTAGCAGAGGAACACTCAGAATACATTTAAGGTGGGGTATGCCTGGGTGACTGGACTCTTGAAAAGGCTTACCTGGGGACATAAGCCAGGAAGTGTTGTAATTCTGGGAACATGAGGATCACCTCTTTGTATGTGTGATCCCAGGTTCAGCGGTAAAGACATCTGGTTGTTGGAGAGGGGACGTTGTGTCTGTGGTTCCTTCCTGCCCAAGGGCTCCTCTAACCCACACGTTGTCTTCTTTTTCTCGCCTACACCTTCTGGCACCCTTCCTCACTTTGACCACTAAATATGGGAGATCTCAGGCTTGTTCTATGCTGTTTCCATGTGTATGAGGTTCTCCAGAGAAACAGTCAATAGGATATATATAGAGAGAGATACATTTAAGAGGAGATTTAGTACAGGAATTGGCTCACTGTATAGAGGCTGAGCAGTCCCGTGATCTGTTGTCTGCAAGCTGGAGAACCAGGAAAACCAGTGGTGTAATTCAGTCCGAGTCCGGGGCTGATGGTATACACCCTGATGTGAGTTTGAAATCCCAAGAACCAGGAACACTGATATTTGAGAGACGGATACCCTTAGCTCAAGTAGGGAGAATGAATTCACCCTACCTTTCCCTTTTTGTTCTGTTTGGGCTCACAAGGGAGTGGATGATGCCTCCCATGTTGGGGAGGGCTGTCTGCCTTACTCAGTTTGCCAATTCAAATGTTAATCTATTCTGGAAATACCCTCGTAGACACTCCCAGAGATAATGTTCTAGCAGCGATTTGGGCATCTCATAGCCCAGGGAAGTTGACATACAACATTAACCATCACACTCTGGGTGGCCTCCACCCCTCCTGTGCCTTCATTTGCCATCAGCCATCTTGTATGAACTCTAGACCTACACCCTCCACTGCCTGGCTGCCACTTCTTCTTGTCCTCTGGGGTGAGGGGTCTAACAGGATGCCACTAAGCTGGAGACAGAGAAAATGCTCAGGGATGTCCAGGTAAGGGTGTGGCCTGTGTGGCCTCAGTGACTGTGAGTTTGACTCCAAAGCAGGAGGCTACTGGATGGTTCTGTATAGTTCCAGTTAAAGGCGTAAATGGTTGTATAAGTTTTTCATGAGTGTAGATACCAGCCCCAGGTAAAATAAATCGGTGCTACAGTACAAAATTGAGCTTTGCAGACCTTACTTGTAGGATCTTACTTGGCATGAGCAGAGTCATCAACAACTACATATGCCCCTTCATAAGGTGACCGAGGGACAACCTGTTTGCCTGTTGCCCCATCATCCTTTTTAACACTGCTGACTTTATTCTCAGAAGTGTCTTGGTTTAGATGATAGAATCACTCATTCCATTAGGAACCCACAGAGTCCAGAGCACTCTGCTGGAACGTACCACATGCTCCGTTTTGCCTGGCCATCTTTGTGGTTAGCCAGATACATCCAGATCTTCTAGTATGTGAATGTGTTTTGCATGCACACACATATGCTCTTCCTGCTTCCCCTTAGCCCACCTGTAGGATCTTGTATGCTCCTTAAACTCAACAGCTCCCAAACTGAGCTCTTGATTTCCATCTCCCACTCCCTGTGTACTTGCTTTGCCATGTTCCTTGTCAGGAAAGACCACTCTCCATAGAACCTTCTCCTCCACCTCATTCTCTTGTTCTTCCCCTTCGTATCTCAGCATAAACACCACTTCCTTAGGATATAGTGCTTCCAAGACACTTCAGCCTGGGTCATCGCATCCTACGCTTTTTCTCAAGAATGGAGGCCACGGTGCATGTTGTTTGTTCAGTGTATGTTTTAGCCCCAAATGAGATATTCCGTGTGCCTGGGGACCATGCTCACCTCGAGAGAGCAGCCTACTTTGTGGTTCCCCAGGAACCCCCTCTGCCCAGCCTTCTGGGTGTTAGGGGCAGCCCAAGGCCAAGCCTGTGTACCTGCCGGAAGTGTGGTGAACTGCAGGGTGGCGGCCCGCTGCTCCAGCCCCTCCCAGCGTGGTTCCCAGGACTCTCGAGATGGGAGCTGAGCCTCTACTCGGGCCTGATAGAGGGTACCAGGCTGCAGGTGGCAGAAGGTGGCCTAGTAGGTGCTGGGGCATGCAGGGGGGCACTCTTCCCCATTGAGGTAGACGGCATGGGCCAAGTTGCTATTGCCGGGCGCGCTTGTTCATAGCTTTATCTTAGTGCTTAATACAGGGCATTGTACATAGTATGAACAAAATAACCTTCCGTTGGATGGATACATGGATGGATGGCCAAATAGCCTTTATCAAGTGTATTTTATTTTTTATTTAAAAATTTTGTTTGCTCTCTGTTGCTTATTCTTTCCTTTTTTGAGTTGAAGTACATACATTGTTGGCATACAATGTTAAATTTTGGGTGTACTCCATAGTGATTGAACAAGTCTGTATATTATGCTATGCTCACCAGCATCTCTCTCCATACATTGACTATATTCCCTATGCTGTGCCTTTCATCCTCATGACCTAGTCATTCCTTTGTATCTCCCACTCCCCTTCACCCATTTTGCCCACACCCCACTTCCCCTTCCCTCTGGCAACCATCAGTTTATTCTCTGTACTTATGGGTCTGATTCTGCTTTTTGTCTATTCATTTGTTTTTTAGATTCTATGTGTAACTGAAATCATAGGGTATTTGTCTTTCTCTGACTTATTTCACTATCAACTGTTTTTTAAATGAAGAATGATAAGCATCTTGAAATGCTGTTGGGCCCTCTATTGACTGATGATGAATTTTTAATCTTTCTTAAAATCCTTCCATTTTACAGATCAGGAAACCAAGGTTCTAAGAAGCTGAGTGACATTGCTTTTCCCACCATGCCAATCTCTCTTCCCAAAGGAGTAACTCTTGCTTCTAATCTTAATTTTCTCAGCCCCTCATTATGGCAGAGTGTCATTTCATAAATATTGGATTGTGCTAATACAATTTTCTGAGCTTTTCTAAATAGAGGCATTTGATAATGATCACCGAAATTATTCTGTCATGATGCGCCTGTGGATTTTAGCTGCTCTGTGTGCTTCGTAGGCAGAGAGGCATGAAAATGAATTTGGATTAGGCAAAATTGTTCTTCTCATGGGCAAAAACTGAAATCTTACTTTTCCTTTTGTAAAACCAGCAGTTTCCCTTCTTTGGAAGTCCAGTTTAAATCTATTTATTCAGATGTTCCACGACCTTTGACTCATCCCTTTCTGTGTGACAAACTCTGTGCTAGGCTGTGGGTAGATCATACTATGTCATTTTGGCACTTAATCCCTCTGCTCTCTTCTCCTGGCGCATGGGTTGAAATCTGAACTCCTTGCTACAGCCTGCATGATCTAGTGTCTTCTGCAAGCCCTTTTTTATTCTCAAAATGTCCCAGACACACTGGCTCCTTTCAGTTCCTTGGAGACTGAAAGACTGTCGCATTCTTTTCTGGCTCAGGACATTTGCACATGCTGTTTCACTTCACTGGAATGGATTTTTCCACTATTCACTTGGCTGATTTCTTCAGGCCTCAGCTCAAATGACTCCTCCTCAGGGACATGGTCCCTTACCAGTCCATGTAAAGAAAGAGTCCCTCCTTGTTGTTCCCATAGTATCCTGTTCTTGGCTTTCAAAGTTCTTGTCATAAATGTGTTTCCAGGCCAGCTTATTCCAATCCTAAGCCATAGCTCAGTGACTCTGAGCCCTTAATCCCACTGCGTCAGTTTCATCTTCTTTAGTATAGGAACCAGTGTGAGAGTTAAAGAGAATGATGCCTGAGAGAGTGTGAAGTGTCTGCACATAGTAGGATTTCATCAGTACTAGTTGCCTTGTGCTCTTTTCTGGTTCTTACAGTCTCTGGAACTGTAAGTCTAAGTTCTCCTTACAGCCTTGCCCCTTCCTTCAAGTTCACCTGACCCCAGGTACTGCTTTACCCGGGTGCGCCACCCAGCAGGTGGTCTGCATGGGTCCCTGAGAGACCCAGGGAGGCTTTTCAATACCCAGGGTACTTGCTGCCCTAAGGGCTTGCACACCTCCTCTATCTCTGCTCTGTTAATTCAGTGCTGCACACAGTCACTCTCAGAGTCTTTTCCTCCTCCCTTTCCATGGGAAGAGGCTGTCATTCCAGGCTTCCGACCTGGTTTTGCTCTGACCTCATCTTTGTTGGGGCTTTCCCAGAGCAATGGGGGTTACTATACCCAGAGAGCCTCCCTAGAAGCCTCGATCTGGTCCCTGGCACTTCCTGCAGGTGTCTCTGGTTTCTAGCTGTGCCTTCCCCAGCCTTGGCATAGTGTCAACATGTCCACCCTGGGAGACAGCCCAAGGCCCAGTATGTATGTGTGTGGGAGAGCTCCTTGGGGGCTGGAGGGAGATTCAAGACTGTTAAGTGTACTTTCAAAAGGGCTAAAACCAGAGGCATTGGGGCTTGGGAGGTATCCTTCAATTTCTTCTGCTTGTAGGCTGTTTAAGTGTTGGGATGAAGTAAGGTTGACTCTCAGGC